CTAACCAGTTAATAGCAGTTCTTTAATCCAGATGCCCATGCCAAAATCCTTGGAGTAATCCTGGAGTCCTCTCTTTCTTCATATCCAACACCCAATTCATCAAGAAATCCTTTCACTCTGCCTGTAAAATAGATCCAGAATTCAGCTACTTCTCATACTTACACTGTTACCACCTGTGTCCAAACCACCACATCTCTCACCTGGATTATTGCAATAGTCCCATTACTGGCCTCCTGCTCCTACACAGACTCCTTACCTTCTATTCTCAGTACAGGAGCTGCCAGAGTAATTATAAAATAAAATTTAAATGTTGAAATATATGAATAGCCAATTTCCAAGAGAGTAAATTTATCTGTCCAGTACACATATGAAATATGTTCAACCTTATTAAATGAATATGCAACCAAAATGATGATACTCTCCAATTGGCTCCACAAGAAGTAAAAATACCTGGTAATACGAAGTGTGATTCTTAAGGAAATGAAGCTGTTAAATACCCTGATTGAGTGTGTGCACTGGTCCAATTATTTTGGAGAATAATTTGCAATATCCACTAAAGCTGAAAATATATGTATTGTAGGTCCATTTTTAGAAATATACCTAGAGAAACTCTGACATTTGCACACAAAATTGTGGGCAAGCATATTCATTGCAGCTTTGCTTTTGATTGCAAAAAATAATGAGAAAGAATTTAAATGTACATCAACAATAGAATGTAAATTGTGATATATGCATTATATAATATCATTAAATTCATCATAAAAACATACTTTTGAATTTCTAAAAAAAATAATATACAAAGCCATATATTGAATAGGATATTAATTACACTAATTATTATAATAATACAAAATTTCATTTATAACTATAAGCAAATCTACTAAAAATGTAAGACACATACATGGAAAAAAATACATATGCTTTATAGTAGATGACAAAAATGGCTACAATTTCCTCCTCTCTTAGAAATCCACTCTCTCTTACAATACAACTTTACCATTCCTTCTACCAAGAAGCAAAGTCTACTTTCCCATCTCTTGAATCTGGTATCTTTGACACTCATTCTCGCCAACAGAATGCAGTGGAAGAGATGTTTTGCCAGAAGCCCTATATACTTCCATTCTCCCTCTTAGAACCCTCCTACTACATTGTGAATAAGCCTGGGCTAGCCTGTTGAGTGATGAGCAACCCATGGCCCAGTCAACCTCATTGCCCCAAGCTACAATCAGCTAACTACCAGACACATGATTCAGCCCATACGTAAGATAAGCCAGCACCCAGCTGACCTGCCAACTGACCACAGACACATCAACAAAT